GAAGGAAGGAAGGAAGGAAGGAAGGAAGGAAGGAAGGAAGGAAGGAAGGAACATCACTCCTATATTGGCTTCTGTAGAATGGGAAATTGCCTAAGCGCAGAGTATATATAGCAGTAGAACTGTGGCAAGCACATAGATGCTTAAATGCAATCAAGGAAAACAGCTTAGAAGCAATTTTAACACCACTTACTTCTGCTCTTGCAGGAGATTTCAAGCCTGCAGAAGTGTAGGAGATGGATGTGAAAGATTGGAACTGCACAGTATGACTAATAAGAATGATAAACTGAGCATAAGCCACAGAGCACTGATTATGAAACATTTTTGAGGGGACTCTTTGGAAGCATTTTTGCATCGAAAGGCAATGCAGCACATAGGTTCTCATGCACACACACCCCCACCCAACATTCCGGGTTACTTTAAAGTGCAGGTTTTAATCATGCTGCAGCGGAGCTCACTAACTGGCCTGCAGAAGGCATAATTCAAACCCTAAAAACGCCCAACTTTCTTTGCATGCACTGGATTGGGTCTTTTCCTTCTCTATCATCTGCCTTCTTTTTCTGCAGGGGTAGATTGATATATTTTTTGAGCACTGTGCATAACCAATGGATAGCATCTGTATTATGTGCTACCTCRTTTTGGTCCGGCATCTGCTGAACAACTGCTCTTGGATGAAACTTCTACCAGGGGTAACCAGAAATTACAGGCACTGATAAATAAAGGCTTCCTATGTTTCTTTGAAAATAGTATTCTCTCAGACTTGCACTTGCTTACTTAAAATCTATTCCAAATACATACACTTGCTAAACTTCTTGCAGTACTTCCTCCCTAAAGCTTTCTTCACCATGACAGTTTATGAGCAGAAAAATAAGCATTCTTTACTTAATCCTCAGGTAATCTAAGGATTGAGTCCTTACAAAAAATAGTTAATTTTTATAATGTTTACAATGTTAACTATAAAAAGAAGTGTTTTGTTGTGTTTCTGCCTGGATCTCGCCCACCACTGTCTCCTGGAAGAGCTCATTGCACTGACCTTGGGACTTTAAACCATCTCTAAATATTGTACCTCCAAGGAGTATTTACCTCCAGATTTATCCAGCTCTATCATAATGAATTTCTGACTCAGTTATATATATGAAATAAAAATACACATTCAAAAAGAAAATATATATTTACCTTCTCATTCCTTGAGAAATAGTTTGTAAAGTAGGAGGAACATGGTGTGAATAATAAGGAAAATACATTGACCAACATATATATGTATTCTCCTACATATATGTCAAGATGATCCTGAATTACAAGTCAAACTATTTTACAACCTCAAATTACGGAAACTTCATCTTTAACCTAAATATATGGACTGCACAGAACAAGAAAACACACCTCCCACATCTGCAATTTCCTGGCATGTGAATTTGTACTATCTGCATGACAATATGATTGAGTTTATTGTCACATGTATATAAATCATTCTACAACTGAGCTTGCTAGTAACCATAACAAACAGCTATGTTCTTGGACATTTCTGTATCTTTAAGGACTTCCTGTTTTTTTTTTTTTTTCTGATTTTACAGCCCTACAGCTGAGAGTCAAACTTAGCATGGAGACAGCAACTAGGAATGGTATGAAATGTTGCAACAACCCCAAGTCCCCTGTTCCTCCCCTCCAAAGAAACAAACAAACAAACAAAAATATTAAGCAAAAAAATCCTTTAATATATTTTAATATACTTCATTTTTTTTTTTTTTTTAAAAGGAGCATTTTTTTTCTTTCGCCAGAATTGCTGCTACAGAGATACTGGTCAGGAAAGCAAGGATCGTTTCGAGGAAGGGAGGTTGCCCTCTGTGAGGAGGCGAGGAATGCAGGCTGATGCCCACACCAGTCTTTTATGTACCAGAGTGTCCTTTTACTGGTCAGAGTAATTTATATAGAGTAATAACCTGACTGTGTCTCTTGCCTCCTGCTTGGGATGAAAAGAGAGCCACTCTAAGCAAAAGGCGAAGGAGGGAGGGAGGACATGAATAAGGATGGAGTGAGGAAGCATCACCTAGAGAGCTCCCTCCCTCAAAGTGCGTGATTTGTGGAAGCTCTGCTATTACTCATTTTTTTTATATACAGCTGTCCCTCACTCCTCTTCCTCTTGCTGCTGGAGTGATAATTAAGTAAGTTTGGGGTGGGAGAGGTTGGTTAGCTGTACACTTTTCAGGGCTGGTGAGAGGAAGATGCAACCTTTGCCATTGGGGACGTGTGGTCAGGCCTGGCCGTGCTGTGCAGGTCTGGATTCTCCTAACTGGAACTGGAGCAGAGCTGCTTTCGATCCAGCCACCGACTCGCAGTGGTGGTTAATAAGGCAATGAGTGAGAAGAGCTAAAATGGGAAAAGCTGGTGTCTGGAGGAAACTCTTTCTCAGCAACAGCAGCACACAGCCTGCCCTGGAATATTTCTCATGTGGTGAAGGGAAAATGGGAGAGAGCTGCTCTCCGGCCAGGGAGCAGAGCCACAGCAGCATCACTCATGTGTTTCGGGGTCCCAACTGGCTCCATTGCAAGGAGCAAGGGCTGCGGGCGGCTGCTACGTCCCGCTGGGGTAGCGGGTCCAGCCTGTACGTGACAGCCCCTGGGGAGCACAGTCTGAGCGCGCAGCCCCTGCCTTCCCAGCACTCCCACCAGTAACTTTGTTGTGGGAAGCAGCACCCTAGGGCTGGCAAGTAGCYGGAGGGCATGAACCAGGCAGTGGGAGACGGGGCTGCGGGCACCCGCGCTCCTGTCGGCGGCCGCGCGCGGGCAGCCCGCTCTGGCTGCAGGTGGAGAAGCACCTCCGTGACACGGCTGCGGCCCCGCACGAGGCAGGGACGGGCCCCACGCACACGGCAGGAGGGTGCCCCTGTGCGCAAACGCGCCCGCAGCTGCAGCGGGGCAACCCCCCGCACCCGCGCTGCGCCGAGCCGCGGGAGTTGTGCGAGCCCCAAACGCAGCCTGCGCACCCCGGCCAGCACCGGAGGTTCACGCACACATATACACACACATACCCACACACTATATATTTTATATATATATATATATATATATATACGTACACACTCGGAGCAGGACCCGCGGGAGCGCAGGCGGAGCCTCAGCCCAGGCGCCCCCCTCCCCGCTGAAGCGGCGCGGGCACCCGCAGCAGGGCGCGCACACCGCGCACCGGGATGGTGCCCCGGGCACACGCACACGCACTCGCACTCACACTCCCACTCCCGCGCGGAGAGCGGACCCCTCCGCCGGCAGCGTCACCTCCATCCCCGCGCAGCGGCCACCGCGGGGCAACAGGCAGGCGGCAACTTCGCGCTGCGCCGGCGAGCAACTTGCGCCGCCCGCCGCCTCCCCCGCGCAACTGGCTGCGTGTGTGCGCGCGCGCGCGCTCGCGTGTGTGTGTGCGCGCGCGCTCGCGTGTGTGCGCGTGTCTGTGCGCGCGCGAGCGGCACCTGCTGCGGGCGGCGGCGCGGGGCGGGCGCGGAGCGCGCAGGAGCC